TGGCGGCACAATACCTACAGTATCTCTGCCATTGTAGCATCCAGTGACTAACTGACTGGCCCAAAGACAACATGATCAGACACAGTGGGGAAATATGGCGGGTGAAGAGAGAGACAGGCACGCACTGAGGGAGAGATGGTTAGAAGCAAGCCGGATGTCCTTGAGAAGATAAGTGAGTGGTGTGTGCGGTGTGTGTGGGGGGGGGGTGATCGAGGCTGTGGAGGAGAAGAAAAGCCGGTTGGAGGATGGATTGAGAGGAAGCTGATAAAAGGGAGAGACGTGAACAGAGGGAGAGAAAGAGGGAGACATATAGTCCTCTCTGGCATAGCTTGTCCGGAGTGTCCGGTCTACGAGGCCCCGTTCAATGTGTGCTCTCCAAACGCAGCCGCACATTATTGATAAATCAGTGTGTTAATGAGAGGAGCTGATGTGGCCACAATCATAGGGGCTGGCTGAGGTGTGTGTCGAACACTGTCATTTGTGGTTTGTCTCTGACCCAAAAGTGCACGCATTTTCCCGCTCTCCCGCACACACACACACACACACACACACACACACACACACACACACAAACCAATTTGCAGTGGCTGGATGAACACTTGGCCCCGTGCTGCAGTTACAACTCCAAGTGTTATTCTACCCTGTTAACAGAAGAGGAGGAGGGCTTCCACAGTCAGCTCCAGCAGGCAGTCAGAGGACAGCAAGAGCTATTTTGGTTTTCTCTTTGATATCAAATAGGCGGCTTAACATGCTCATTAGATCATATCGGCCCCGAACACGCGCGCTCATCGCACACAAACGCGCACATGCGCAAAGCCGCAGCAAAATTATCTCTCTCCCACACTCACTACTTACATTATCAAGTCTTATCTTTTGTTGGTGTTTGTGTTGATTTATTAGTTTGTCTGACTGTGTGTGGCCGCGTTTTTATGTTGATGCAAGTGTGTGTAATTATAGATATTTGTGTATATCTGCACTTGAAAATGCTGGTGTCTACTAAGGCTGGCTTTCTCTTGAGTGTGTGTGTGTGTGTGTGTGTGTGTGTGTGTGCAGGGCAAGCTGACCTTGTTATAAGCTGAGTGGGCTGTAGTGCTGGGTCATCATTAGTATGGGTTAGGTGAGGGTTAGAGGGTGTGTATGTGCGTGTAGAGGTGAGGGGGTGACAGAGTGGGTAGAGATGGGGGACGACAGTATAAGAGAAGAGGTAAGAGGAGGAAGGTGGGGGGGGATGGGGGGGGGGTTAGGCCAGGACACACAAACAAAACGTCACTCCTCACCATCCGTCACTTAGAAGAAGGTAGCACATGTTTCATGACATACACACACACACACACACACACACACACGGTATTCGATCTTAAGTACAACTCCTCCTCTCCTACAATATCCTCAGATGGCCTTCTGCAGCACAAAGGGAACGGAACCTGAACTATCCGATCAAAATGCAGTGATGCACAAGAAGACTGTGTTCGATGCATGACAACATCGACACTACACAGCAACGCTGAGTGTTTCAGGTGCCATTAGTCCAACTGTGGATTGTGTCACAACATGCTGGACTTCATATAGGGGACCCCATAGAAACAACAATGAGGTGAAGTATGTGGGGAAAAACCTGAGACTTCAGTATTTCATCTTATAGTTACAGTAATATTACTTCCATTAAAATGTTGTATAAATAATTCTAAAATCAAGCAAATTGAAATTTGAATCAGCACATTTTTTTCCATCAACTTTTTGTTTCAGCAAACAACCACAATGGAAAAAACAATAAAGCCACAGGACAGGTTAGGTTACAGCTGGTACATGTCTGATGTTACACCATTGGGCCTCTGATGACACTTTACACACTACTGCAACCCGACAGTGACACTTTGAGTGTTTCTCTGCCTGCCCAGTAAACAAACACTGACTTGGGCGGGACGGCGTAGGTTGTCGGTGATGTCATTTGACACTCAAGCTAGATGCAAACATGATAATGATTGTTAATGGCTGCATCCATAAGTTATAAGACTGTACAAGTACTAATGCTGTAATATGTCACACTCTTATCAGTTGTCTGAAGTGAATCCTGGGTGGAATTCATCTAAAAGCCTGAGGTACTTGTTAGAAATTTATCGGCCCTTTATTTTCAAGTGTGTGCATATGAGAAATGAAAATGGTGATTCTCTGCTTGATAAAAGTCCAGAGAAACCAAATGAAGCCAATGTGACAATGGAAGCCATCAGAAAACAATGGGAACCAACCAAAATACAAGACAATGCAAGAGACTATAAGCAACAGGAAGCAGAATAAGCCAATAGCGGCCAAAGGATGCCAGTAGAAACAATAGAAGCCAGTTGGAGGCAAAGTGACTGCAGGCTGGAAGCAGGATGCTCTGAAGCGCTGCCAGCGTGAGGAAGAGGAGGAGGAAGAGGGGGAGGAGGAGGCTACGGCTCAGGAATATTCCAGTCGTTTATTCCTGGCCAGGGGTCAACTGTGGCCTCGGGCTGAAGCTCAGAGAAGGAGGGAGAAACTCACACATGATGAGAATACACACTCACATAGAGCAGCCACACACACACACACACACACACACACACACACACACGGCCCGGGGTTAGGGCTTTCGCAATAACTTCAATATTGCAATAACGTGCTATTGACGAGCCAACTGCAGGCAGCCGCCACAACAGCTATGTTTGCGTTTTTTCTTTTTTTGAATTCTTTGCTAAGTGAGCGCAGCATGTTTACACGATGCTAAACACCAGCAGCGCCACGAGGCGTCGAGCACTTCACATTTGGTCTTTTTCTTCTCATCTCCGTGAGCTGATAAAAGTTAAACTTTGGGTAAAACGCTGCTCTCTATCACTGTCGCTTTTTCCCCCCAGCCGTCCAATCACAATGGAGGAGGGGCGGGACAAATACCACAGAGACCAACCCCCACGTCCTACGAGTGCTGTACAACAAGTACAAGGGAGGAGAAATGAACACACACAGACCAGCGGATCTCTTGTGTACCTTGTGCCGACATTTTTACTTCTGCGGATATCATAGTAACCACACACTCTGCATCTAACAATAAACAAGTATTAGCTTTAAAACTGTCATGTTTGTCAAAAGCATCAATACACCTAATAACAGCCCAACAACAAAGCCTATTGATAAAGCACTAAAATCAGGGCAAATTAAGTCATTTGCAAAAAGGCAATAATACTGCATATCGCACTGTTGAGCCAATCATTATCACCACAGGACAATTCCTCCACCGTGACGGCCCTACTAGGGGCAGTTTCCTCCCTATGCTGACCACACACACACACACACGTAGAGAATGATGATGACACACACATGGTACTTATCACGGACCACTGTAAATCACGACCTGAAATGGTGAAGCTGGTAATGCGTCTCGAACCACAGTACCCACGATTACCATAATAAATCCATCAGAGTGTGAGAAGCACTGGAACCATTTGGGAAAGAAATGGTTTCCAACAATGGGCTTGGCGCACGTGTGGCCTTTTCCCAAAGAGCTGGCAATGCCACGACCTGTCCAACGTACTTTACTACCGTAATTACAATATCGAGAGCACCTGCCTCTATGGCAGATGTTGCTTCCCACGCTAGAGGTTCCCCACGTAATTACCATGATGAACTTGACACACCGATGTAATAAATATCACAGAACACACGAGCACACTTGCACGGGGCGGACAAGGACACACACACACACACACACAGCGCATGGAAGTGAAGGGAGGTAGGTGTGGAGAAAAGGAAAACATGCAGACTGCTGAGGCGAGGGGAAGCTCATTGAGGGAACGCTCAAATGAAGATACACACACGTATAACGGGATAAGAGATCTATGTCAAATATAGTACAGTGTTTACCAAACAATTAGAAGGTAGACAGCGGAACAAACTGATAGATTTTTTCAATTAAAAAAGACTAAAAAAGTATTCATAACTTCCTGAAATCAAATCAAAGACAATACACCTTCCTCTGAAAAGCCAACTACTCACTTTTTACTATTCAATCATTTACTCCATTGAGCATTTGATATCAGACAAATGCTCAAAGTATATTATAGTACTATTAATATTAAATCAAACCTCGGCACAGAAGTGGTCTGACCTACAAAAGTATATTTTATTCGTGGACAAACGGTCCACTCGTGTGAGTGTGTGATTGTACTGTTCAGCCCTGCCTTCTTATCTACATTTAGAAATGTATTTCCACATAGATCCACATTTCCCCCAGATGACGGAACCTCTGAAAAAGGCATCGACATTTTGCCAGCATTGTTCTTCCATTCATCTACGGCTCGTCATGTCAATAACCGTCACCATACGTAGCACAGGCACACTCATCGCACAAACACAGTGTCAGTGTCTCATTTAACTTCAATGAATAATTTTGCAATTACATTTAACATGCAAACACCCAAGACAAATTAGGCCGCACTGTGTTTCACTTGCCTTGAGGGAAGCACAAAGAGAGTAATGGCCGCCAGAATTGTAAATGAGGTGCCTCTTGACATTTTTACATGACAGTAAATCACCGTATGTAGGAGCTGGCTCGCTAGCTTGTGCTTGCAGATTACCAGCGTGTGATGGGATGTGTTGACATGCGCCTCAACAGAGTCATCACAACAGTCACATCACAGGGCTAGGTTGTGCCTCTGGTCAGTGGTGCAAATCTGTGTGTATTAAGCCGGATTTGACTCTGTCCATTTCCTGTCCAACCCCGACGTACATGACATGTTGTGTACAGCTACCAGGAAGATGTGCTGGGATGTTTCCCAGATTCTGATTAAGTCCTGCACTAGAAATGACAGGCTGGGGATGTTCTCTATTGAGGCTTTACAGTTGAGGATTAATCCATAGTCTGGCAAGTCAACCATCAAAATCCAGTTACCCAGTACAGGCAGAATATAGAGCAAAGATGAGCGAGGTGTAGGAAATAGGAATAGACTGTAAAACAGGAGAGTTTGATAGGAAGGCCGGAGGGAACTCACCTGGTCTTTTTTCCAATTTTCTCCCTCGACTGCCACATAGTCGAACCTTCGATATTAATATGAGGATTTGCTTCTGGCAGAGCGACTTGTTGCTCTTTGGGCAGGGCTTGCGCTTGCTGGCGATCTGCCTGTTTGCCTGGGGGTCCTTGACCTCCCTGCGCTGGCGAATAAGGGAGCTGGCGAGAGCGGCCATCTTCCCAGCGCTGACCCTGCCGGCGCCTCACCAGCCTCTGGCGGCTCGGTGGCGCCCAGGTGTCGGGGGGTACCGTGGGCCACCCCCCTGCCCGCTCACCCAGGGCGACGGAGCACCGCGGATGGAGGGGTGCAGAGTGGAGGAGGGGGCTTCTGAGGATGGACTGAAGCAGCTGGGAGAAGGGCAGAAAAAGAGATGGAGGAAATAAGGGTGGATCCCTCAAAGGCCCACCCAAAACAGAAAAGTGGGGCTCGTTGAGGTTCGGATCGAAGAGCGTTTGCCTTTAAAATGTCCTTCCAGTTGTATGTTCTCTGGTAGCGAGTGAGGTTCAGGTGAAGTCTTCATACGTCACTGTTCCTCTATCGGGACAAGTCATGTTGTTATCCACCCAAAAACCAGTGCACTGTAGCCCAGCAATGCGCCCTAGTGCCTCTGTCCCAATCTGAGTGTACCCTTACGCTCCTCCTAGAGCTCCAATTAAGTTTGAGTCAACCCTGTCCGAAAAGATTCATCCACAGAACCATTTGATGCATGATGAATCCAGACCCCCCAGAAAAAAGAAAAGAAAATCACATTTAGTCCTCTTAACCCACTCAATCCTGCAGCTCAGACGCCTGAACCTTTTCAGTGGGACAAAAAAAGCCTGAATGTCAACTCTCCAAAATAACAGGAGTGACACTGCTCCTTTTCTTTTGGTCCCTCACCTGCAAAATTCCTCCATCCGAAATAATGTCGGAGCAAGAGAAGTAGAAGAAGTAGAGAGTGTCCGACCTGAGGTATCAGCTCCGCCAGCTGGGACGAGGATGAGGGGGTGCGGATGGACGGTGCTTGCTGTCTTTCAAGCTCTCCCGGAGTCACCCTCGTTCACCCACACCCTGAGAGGAGAAGGGAGAAAGGCAAGGGGGGCTTGATAAATCCAGCATTTCCCAGAGATAGAGGTGACATTCATCAACGACAGAGTGCGGGGATCGAGAGACAGACAGGGACACAGAAAGAACGAGGGGAGAGAGGGGAGGAGGGGAGTCTATCTGTCCCCCCTATCGCATCGGGCTCTCCAACTCTCTCAGCAGCGCACTACACCACAGCTGAGCGCAGCGCTATGTGTCCTTCAGCCACGCACGCTGCCTCGCAGATGGGAGAATGGGGGATGAATGAACGGAGACAGACAGAGAGAGACAGAGAGACAGATACAGAGACAGAGAGACAGAGAGAGAGAGAGAGAGAGAGAGAGAGAGAGAGGGGATGAGGTTAAGGGGAAAAGGGGAGGGGAGGGCTGGCAGGTAGTCTTACGGTAGGTAGGCGCTGTATTACCGCTGCTCATGCCAGAGTCGTCTCCACCGGTGGGTGACAGCTGTCCGGTCTGGTTCTGTTGGGTCCGGCTGCACAGTGTGTGTCCATGTGTGTCTGCGAGAGAAACGGAGGGGGGGGGTGTATCTCCCGAAGAAGGCACCTCTCTGCCTCAGGGCACACGTGTGAGGGAGTGTACGTGTGTGTGTGTGTGTATGAAGGAGCGACACAGTGTGAAGGTGTGAGGGTGTGTGACAGAGGCAGCATGTATGGATGCGTGTGTGTGTGTGTGTGAAACTCGCTCTTTTGCTTGTCCCCGTTCACAGTGCATTACCGAGAGAGCACTGCCAACGTGCTTCACATGCTCTCTCTGTCTGGCTTTCCCTCCCTCCCTCTCTCTCTCTCTGTCTCTCTTCTTCTCTCTCGCTCTCTCAAATCTATTTTCCTAAACCCTCCCCTTTGCTCTCCTTCCTCCCTCCCATTTCTCCTCCCCCTCTGTCACTCTGAACCCCCGTTCCGATGTCTGCTATATAAAAGTCGCTTCCTCCCCCTTCTTCCTTATTCTCTTCATCACTTCTCTCGTACCGTGCCAGGCCAGAGTGAGCCGGGCCAGGTCAGAGCTCAGGTGCCCCCAACCCCACGACTCCCCCCCCCCACACTCGTCCGTCCCAACCCACCTCCTCTGATGTGATGTTGGCTTAAAGAGACAAACTAAGCGGGGTTGTCAGTGCTGTGCTTTCTGCTTTGACAAGGACGTACAGATGCCGTGACACTGTCTGAGTCACCTTGCGTCACTGCAGTCACATCACCCATACATCTGTAGAACGCATCAGTCAGTCACACGAACGCAGTCCATCGCATACGCTTAATGTACAGAACACAATCGAGTCGAACAGAGCCAGGCACCAGCAGTCAGAGCAGACAGGTTGTAAACAAGCCAACAGTTTGGTCAGATTATCTGGACCACTTATTTTGGAGATTAAACACACATTCACAGTCATTCTTTCTTTCAAATATGTTTGTTTAAAGTGGCAATAGACAAGTTGTTTTTTGCCTTAGCTTATCGTTATGAAGTAAATGTTGACAATGTAATAATGGCTATGGAGTATCTGGACGAGGGGGTTGAGAAGAGGGTGCTGTCATTCATCGATACAATGTTCCTCTTTGTAAAATAATTAGTGACCTTTTCTTCATAACTTTTTTTATTTGTCAATAATTATAATTATTGAAATATTATTTAAAAGTTGCTCTTTTGATTTACAGAATATGACTTAACAGGGCAAACATTTAAAAAGGATTAAACTAAATGTATGGCACAAAGGAGGTGCATCAGCTATTGCACAACCAAAACAGGAAGAGGATAGCGCTTTTGTTTTCCCAAGTAGCTATTGATGGCTACCCCCAGTTATGGTGGACTTGGAGAATGATTACGCCCATAAAAATGCTGATGTCAATGAGACGGTTAACTGCATGAAAAATAAAGAAAACCCCAAAAAACTGTTATAATCACTCGCTTATCGTGATCAATTTGACCTGGACAGACACGATTATCATAAGTGGTCTCCACTCTCCATGGTTTGAATTAAACCGTGACAACTGCAGAGTAACAGTGCCTCAGGCTCCGCCCCCGGAGCCGTCACCATTCCCCTGAGAAGGCCAATGTTAAATGATAGTGGGATTCTGTGATTGTAGGCAGACCTGCCACTGGTCTCTCTCTCTCTCCCGGTTTCTGCTGGCCTAGCAGGGAGAGGAGAAAACCCTGCAGGATTTCCCTTAGGCACGCACACACACACACACACACACACACACACACACACACACACACACACACACACACACCTATCACTACCGTATTGCATTTTCCTGAGCTGTTAAATAACATAATTATCTCTCTCTCTCACTCCTTGTCCTGTCCTCCTGCTGCACCATGGCTATCTTTCCCCAACTCCACACCCAAGGTCATCCCCCACCCTCTCCCTCTCCTCAAAACCAAACCACCTAGCCTGGAAGTCGTCCCACAATCTCCAGCTCCAACAGCACCTCTTAAATCACACAAAGGGGCCAGCGCTGAGACAGACAGTCCACTAGACTGTTGGAAAATCCTGGCACCTTAAAAAAGGACAAAGTTTCAACGAGCAAGGCACGCTACATAGAGCGCTGATCTCCGCCAGGTGTGTCTGCACTGACCACAGCTGTACTGTGGGATTGAATGAATACAACCCACTATTGGCTAACCCCCCCCCCAACATCTGACTGACTCACTCACTTACACACACACACAAACACATGATCCTCCTGGTGTAGAAAACACAAGCAAGCGGAGGATTTAAACTGGCATGGAGGTGAGATTTGGTTAAGGGGGTGTAGTGAAACAGACGCTGGTTGATTGCAATGAAGACATCACTTGGCGAGCCAAGACACAGTTCAGAGCGCCAGGAGGGAGAACGGAGGCGCCGAGGAGACGGACAAGATGGAGAGACACAGAGACAATGACACAAAGAGGGACAGAGAGGGCAAAAGAAGGAAATATATGTACTGAGTCAGTGTGTGCACAAGCTGGCACGTGTGCAAGTGTGTGTGTGTGTGTCCGTGCATATGTGTGCCGGTGCCAATGCCGTCTACGGGTGGCCGAACATGAGTCTGTTTTCTGAGCGAGTCGGCTTCCAACGGCAAATGCCTCTGAGGCCGACACCATGATCCGGCCTCGCCAGCAACAGGGCAGCATTGTCTCCCCCCCCTCCCCTCCATCGCTCCGCTCACCCTCTGTCCTACCTCACCCAGACAGACTGGCCCAGATCTGTCTGCATATCTCCCAGAGTCCAATTCAATTCCATGGTTCTATATTGGTGGAGCAGGGAGACCTTTAATGCTACGCTAGACTATAAAAAACACATGCAGCATGAGTTTATTTTTTTGAGCTTGAGTTTATGATGTACAGTGCAGTCCACTTTAATTGACATTGCTTACAGACACTTACAGACACTACCATATAATATTGAACACCTTGCATGTTAGTGTGGGCGTACATTAACGCTATAATTTCCCATGTTAGTCAGCCACAGTTAGCAAATTAGCATGCTATGATTAGAATTATTCTCACGGTATAGCTTTGGCAGACAGAATATTGCCAAAGCACATGATGCTGTACAGTGTTTGCTTTGAAACATGTACTTAAACACGCAATATTCTCATAAAAACTAAAACATATGCATCAATCATCTTTCTCTTTGTGTCCTCATCTTCCTCCTCTCCACATGTAATCCCTCTCCTCCTCTTCGTATTACTCATGTAATCGTCTCTCCCCCTCCCATCATGTCACCCTCTTTATTTCTCTCTCTGACGCTGCAGAGGTGACTGGTCCTGTTTTGTCTCTCAGTCTAATCTCGGGCTCATTATGTAAAGGCATGTTGGCTCATTTGTTATTTCTGGCTCCAATAACCCTGATTAAGGCTGTTTTTTTTCCCTTCTTTCTCTACGCCTCCTTCCCCCGCCTGCTATCGGGCGACGTAAATGATAGCAACACTAACCCTCTTTGAGGAGAGATTCTCCCTTCTGTTCTGAACAATATAAATACATTTTCATACGCATTTTTTAAGTATTGCATTAGAACAGCTGTATGGAAACGAACAGTATGAAACATGACCAATACTAGCTGTCTAGAAGAAAAATTAAATTAAATTAAATTAAATTAAAATAAATTGCAACAAATTCCAGATGCCCCCTGTCAATTTGTCTCTTGTACATGGGAACAACTTAAAGAAACTGTGCTTTGCTTATCTGAGTTTGATAGAAACACGTCTAATTTGATTGTAAAATAAGAAGTGACTCACACGTTAACCTACAAGCATATTAGTTATAGTCATTTACAGGGCAGAAATATTGTCCTCCATAGTATTGTTTCATTGTATGCATCTATTTAGATAACACCGGGCATGAATCGCTTTTTGTTTTGTTTTCCCTGAAACTAAAAACTCCATCTCAATTTAATGCAAATAAAACTATTTACTATAAGCACTGGAGGTCAGTGTTGGGTGGTGTTACTGTTTTCACAATTATTTCTATTTTGTATAGGACTCCCCTTTGGTGGGTACATCCTACCAGCAGTGGAAGTGGAGGCAACGTTCCTAGAAGGTGCATTCAACATTGCTCTGATACGTGACAGTTGAAGCTACTAGTGAGGCTGCTGATGTGACTGTTATGTGAAACTCTTCTATTCAAACATTTGATTAGACTTCTGGTAACAGGAAGCCAAAGTGAAAAAAAATATCCCCATTTCATCAATCATACATCAATTCCTGGTTATCCTTCCCGTTTCATATCTATTCCTACTGCGGAGCAACGCAGGCTGCAGCCTTGCATGTAATAGAGTAGCATGGGACAGACAATCTGTTCAGATCTGAGGGGGCGGGCACAGAGACAGAAAGAGTCAACTAAGTCACAACAGGGATACAGACACACAGCAAGCAAGAAGCCCGAGGCTAAATCATGAAGAAAGGCAGATGTTGGAGAAAAGAGCGCAAGAGGGAAGGATTTTGGGGATGATGCAAGATGGAAATGCACAAAAATCAAGGTGTATCGAGCATTTACGCTGTATAGAGAAACCCCGTACAGTGTAGGCAGAGCTACATGACATAATTTGTCATCTCGACATCTGCAATTGCATAAAGGGAATCGAGGGCGCTAAAACATTATGGCTTTATACGTCAGCCTTCGTCCTGCAAAGACTTGGTGTCACTGATAAATGTAGCCAACACAGACAGAAAACACACACAGCACGTCTATAAACAACTGTGTGTGTGTGTGTGTGTTGCTCCATCTGTGCGTTACC